TATATATATATATATGTATATATATATATTTATATATATAAATTGTGTATATATACTTGTATATATATAAGATGTATCTGTGTCAGCTCATAAAAGGGCACCTGCCTGTCCTTATACAGCTGATGGGGGGAGTAACGTTGCCGCCGCTGTACTTTCACGGTGGCTACCAGGACATGAAGTACTTCTTTGAAGCACTGGGAGATTATGTTGAACTAACCAAGTAAGTGTGGTGTTTGCTATTGGTGTACGTGTACATCTATTTGAATAGTGATATGAATCCTCATATACAACTCACCAAGTAAGTGGGATGTTGGCTATTGGTGTGTACATGTACATCTATTTGAATTATAATATGAATCCTTATATAGAGCTGACCAAGTAAGTGGGATATTGGCTATTGGTGTGTACGTGTACATCTATTTGAACAGTGCTATGGATCTTTATATACAAATGATCAAGTGAAAAACGAAACAACCATCTGACGGCATACCATCACTTTAAGTCTGCCAGTGCAGTGCATATTTGGTATTTGCAGATCTGTCTAAGACCAGACGTATCTCCAACAAGACGACGACAAGTCAATACTTGTCGAGATGGATCTATTCGGAAATAGGAGACCCTTTTACAGGCCCTGGAAGACAACGTACATGGATGTGTGCGATAACAAGTGGTTTATTGGGTTGTAGTATACGAATATTTCAGACCGGTGTTGGGCCTTTTATATTTTCCCGTCCCTTGGGAAAGTGCCGCATAATCAGCCGCATGTGCCTGTAGAGGATGTTCTGGGGGCGACTAAGTAGTGTAAGACAAGATATGAGTGCACTAATGCGTTAATCGTGTCCAAACAGACGCTGATCTTATCGCAGTTGGATGCACCTGTGCATCAGACACACATCCACGCACACACACGCACACACATACACACACACACATATATATATAAATTATTGTGTTGCTACTATTCAGAGAACCGAATGACCCTCACTTGTACATGCTCCCCCGTGGTCGTGGCCAAGAACCGTTAAATGGGGCTGCTACGTTTGGTCAGATGTACTCTATGCGCAACCATGCGTGGAATGTGATAGGCAAGATCTCACAGGTGTGTGAGATGTGATGGTTAAATTCTCAGGTGACGGTCACTTATAGAGCTCTCACAGGTGTGTGAGATGTGATGATTAAATTCTCTGGTGACGTTATAAGACTTGTTACTAATAGTGCGGTGGCTACTGGCAGTAAATCTATATGCTTTTGTTTGTATGGAGATACGATGTTTGTGCTAGATATACTCTGTGCACAACCGCGTGTACAGTGTGACAGACTACATAACTCGTGTATGCTTATTGAGTCCTGTCATATGTATGTGACAGGTATAGCTTACAGAGACTTGCATTCTGGTACGTTCCTTTTTAAAGGAATGCTTATGTGCATACACCATGCATGACAGCCCTGAACGTCTGTTTGATAGGTGATCTATCTGCCCCGTATATGTTGTCGTTGTCAATGTACTACTTTTATTTCGCATATGCGGTCTGTGTATCATTCACATTAGTAGACTGTGTATCAAATGTACTGCTTACCCTATGCATGTGTGCGATGTCTATGTACCGAACTACTCGTCTTTGCATGCATGCATGGAACCTCTATCTCGATCAATGGACTACTCATACTTACAATGACTAGGTAATGCAGCACAGGTTTCGTGCATGCATGAATGAAACGCATGTACTGTTTTAATGTTCCCAAGGTAGTGTGTAGAAAACGATAGTTGCAATGCGTGTACATGTGTAGTTTTCAATGTGGCACGCATCAATTAACCCCGTGCCCTTCACAAGCATACAATGTGTTCAATACCTCACTTCTGCTGCATCATCCACTCAGACGGTTATATCGTCTCGGAAGTATTCGCATCGACAACCGGATGGTAACGAATCTAAGACAAAGATTGGCCCGGATGATTTTGACGAGTTTGAGCTGGTTTCGGTATGAGTTGCCTTTTGTTCATCGCCATTTATTCATTACCATAC